CAGTGTCTATTCAGAGCAATATTCTGGGTGATATTCAACAATTTATACTAATCATACAAAATGATATACTATCAGGCTGGATGATATGAATAAAAACCTTCTGATCATCGTAAATCATCCTGGCTGATTGAGCTAAATTTATACTGATCGAATAGGATGATATTTATATCGTCCTAGATGATAAAGTCAATTTGTTGCAATTAAGAGCTATTTCAAAGCTCTTCTATTTAAGACCTCTTATTCAACCCAAGAGATCACCTTTTACTATTGTCCTGACTTGAGAGACGCAAGAGGAGAGGGAGAGCAAGGGAGAGAGAGAGAGGATCTTATGAGGGGGAGTTTATGAGGGGTTTCATAAAGGTTGCTCCAAGCAAGGATCCATTGTCATCTTCTTCAGTTGTCATCCTTAGTTCCTTGGGGGGTTTTAGAGAGGTCTACTTCAGCATCTGATCAAGATTCTCTGCCTGATTTAGGAGGAAGCAAAAGGAGTTGGGTTCTATATCTGCTTTTAAAGGAAGAAAAAGGAGTTGGGTTCTCTGCCTCACCTGGGTTAGTGGAAAGGTGGTTTGTAAAGGCTTCTCTGCCTTGTTGTGGGGGAAAAAGGAGAGACACTGAGTTTAGTGCAATACTCGGAGGGCGCCTCTAGGGAGTGGACGTAGGTTGAGTTGCCCGAACCACTATAAATTTTTTGGTTCTTTATTACTGCTTCCACATTTAATTTATGTACTTTAATTTATGTTGTGAATCTTGGTTTTGATTTTAAGATTGTGTTTTGATTGAATTTTTTTTAAAAATACCAATTCACCCCCCCTCTTGGTTAGCCTTGGGACTAGTTCATAAGGGCTTAACATCCATGTCAAACTTTCAAGTGCCATCAGAGCACTTTAATTCTAAAGCACCTATAGAAAATATCATCAATATTTAAAAGCTTAGTTTATTTATTTTTCCCTTTAATTTTATTGCCCTGTATGAGCATGACCACCTATATAAGATTATGTTAGCATTTAAATCTCCCCTAACCTATGATTAAAGTACAGACATACTGGTGGTAATAGTACGCGCCCCACTCCGAAACAAAGAAAAAGGTGTGTGCCGCACTCACGAGGGACTGCCAGTGAGATACTGGAGGAAGATGGGGATGACGTCAAGTCCGCATGGCCCTTATGGGCTGGGCCAAAACCATATGTTTATTTCACATTTCATAGGGCTAAGTCAATAGCCACATAGGCCCAGGTTACCTAATAGTAACTGGTATAAGTTAAGTACCTTAATTGATTAAAGGTTTAAAGGTTGATAAAATTTATTTAAAATTATTAGATGATGGTTTTAAGGTTGAATTAAAGATTTCTTTAATTTTAAATTAAATATTGATTTTTTTAGAATTATTTGAATTATTTAAATGTAGTAATTAAAGGGGTCAAATTTTAAATTTTTGACTAAGGTTGATTTCTAGAGTTTTAATATTTTTCTTAAATACTTGACCTTAAGCTAAGTAATCATACTAAAAGTATGCTTAAATTGAATTTTTTTTATTTAGTTATGAATTTTTGAAGTTTGAGTTGAAATTTGAACTAGAGTTGACTAAAAAGTTGACTTTTTATTTTAAGTGATTTTTAATGGTTTCATATTTTCAATAAATATTAGAACTTATATAAAGTATAATGCCTTTGAGGTTGATCAATTTGAAATTTTCTACATTAAGTTATAAATTTTCAAAGTTTAGACCTAATTTTGAACTATGGCTGATTAGAGAGTTGAATTTTTGATTTTGTTCTATTTTTATAAGTTTATAATTTTTAGAAAATACTAAACATTAAATGGAGTTCAATGACACTAAGTTTGATGAATTTGGATTTTTTTTTAAATTAGTTATGATTTTTCAAAATTTAGTTAATTAATTAATTTTTAAAATTATTGAGTTAGAAAGATTTTGATTTTTTAACCCAAACTCATCATAAACTACATGGAATCACTCCTAAAGGTTAGGGATAACCCCATGGGAGTGTTTTCAAGCCTTTAGAGTTTTTTTGAAATTTATAATAATTTTAAATTAATTTATTTAATTAAAAATTTATTTTCACTAAAACTTAAATTAAAGTTTAATAAAAGGTCTAATGATTTGGCTTTTATATAAGTAGAGGATTAAATTTCTATCAGTGTGATATATTAATTATATGTTTTTAATCTAATTTGTATTTATTAAAATTATTTGGTTCCTAAAAAAGTCTAAAATTTGACTTGCTAATTTTTTTACCAAATGAACTCCAAATTTAATGAAATTTAAACATATAGTGTATAATCTCGCTATATTCACTTTGGCAAGTTTCATCCCTATTGGTTGTGTGTAGAATTTCCTGTTTTTTTAATATGACTAGAGTTTATCCTTAATTATTTTTCCTAGGTTTCACTAGTGTTCAATTAGGTCGGAATATATGGTAATCTAACCATGGAACATATGCAAATATACCATAAGAATTTCTTAGCCTAATTCTAAGGTTTTAAAGAGTTATAAATTCTCAAAGTTTTGGGTCCAAAATGGACCGCTTACTTTGAAATTTCATCCCACATTAATTCACTGAACATTTGGACCTAGAAAAAATGCTGAGAATGCCTATGATGTTCAAATATTTTCACCAAACGTAATGTTCAATTTTACCACTATATTGTGAGAAAATTGGATTTTGATCAAACCTAAATATCTCAAACCCACTTATCAAATTAACTTGATTTTAATTTTAATAAATACTAGATTTTAGCACCTTTCAAATGACACTAAAAACACCTAAATTAGTAAAAAATTAGATTTACTATGAATTTTGAAAGTTCTGGCATTTAAATTAATTTTTTTAATTCATTTAAATCATGACATCATCATTTCGGGTATTGACACGTGTTAGCAGGCACGATGAGTCAAAATCTTAAATGTAATTTGACTAATCCATGTTAACAAGCCCGTCTTGGCCGTCAGATCCAAACAGGGTTTGATTCGATGGCCCAAAAGTTTCCACGTCAGCTCCCATGGTTTCGAACTGACCTACGTTCGAATCCTTTAGGCCTCCATAGATCTAGCTGGACGACAATGCCAGTTATAGACCATCCGATCTCACTGAAGATACGATCATACGATTTTGATTGAGCTAGAGTTATTAGTTAAAAAAGAATTGATTTTTTTAAAGGCTTAATGATCGAGTGAAGAGGTGCGCTCGGAGGTTGGATCGAAGTTTGGGACGTCTGAGAAGTAGATTCGACATATCAGGATATTCGATTGGGAGCTAGCGGCTAGGTGAGGGAATTTTGCACAGTTCTTATTGAGGGATCATATAGAGATTGGAAGGATTGATGGTGGTGGCAGCGGTGGATGCGTGGATTGGAAGCTTAAGGTTGCAAGGATGTATGTAGAGCTGTCAATTCGTGTCGGCGGGTCGTGTTCGGGTCAGACCCGAAATTGATCCGACTGTGCTTGACACGACTCGGACATGACCCGAAACTGGATTTGGGTCAACTATCCGGACCCGAACCCGACCCGAATCGGGTTTGGGTCAACACGACCCGACACGAAATTTTTGAAATGCATGAAAAATTGAAAATTTTAATTAAATTTTATAATTAGAGCCTTAGAGTAGATTAGCAGAAGTGCAGAACTATATAAATTACAAAACTATATAAATTACAAAATTACTTTATAAATTCTAACAGTAATGAAAATTTATTAGAAATTATAATCTACATATTACAAATTTACAATTTACAAACTATATAATTTACAAAATTCCAAGTACATTTATTTATTCTTAAACTGGCAGTCCGACACGCCAACATCGCCAAGACACAAGTGCAAGTGCCAACACTTAAGCTTCATTCTTGACTTCTTGTCTCTTGATTCTTAAACCTATTTTCAACTTGCATTAATAGCAAAATGAAAAATTGAAGATGGTTAAACAATAAATATTAAAACAATAATAAGATATTGAGATTGCATAATGCCATAATTGTATAAGTATAACTAGAAAGCTTCATTTGATTAGCTCAGGTAAACCCTTGACTTTTCTAACTATTACCATCCAAGGCGAAAATTGCATTAAACTTAATGACTTAATATAGTATCAATGAATTTATAAAGTATCTACTCTTGAATTTAGTCATTTAGGTAACACAAATGCCACCTGGTTGCAATAGTATTAACCAACACAACGGTTTTTCATCATTGCTTGAACTTTCATAGTTATACACTTGTACATTAAGCATTAGATATTCAAAAAAACAATTAATTCATTAAGCATCAGTCATCGGGATATTCATAAATCAGATTGTCACAAACTCACAAAGTCACAATGTCATCAGATTATTCAGATATTCAGAAATCACAATGTCACAAAGACGCAAACTCATATATTCAGAGTTCAGACATTCAGAAATGAGCATGTCATCAAGCTTCAGCCCAGGTGCCCAGCGTCCCCAGACAGAGTTCATTTTTCTGTTCAGATTTCAGAATTTACAAACATAAATATGAAACAGCCAAATACTCAGATTCTAAGCTATAAGTTATAACATTATGAGCAGCCAGAGCCAGCAGCCTAGGCGCCCAGCAAGTCAGCAACACTGCAACAACAAAGAGCAACGGCCAACAATAGAACCACTAAACCAGACAACCAGTGAGTCACTATCCATACAGTGATACAGCAATTTAAAAACAACAAAGAGTAACGGCCAAACAGTCACTAATCCATAGTTTCATACAGCATTTTACCATGTACTGAACCAGTATTCACAGTGATACAGCAATTTAAAAACAACAAAGACATGCAGCAACAACCAACAACTAATTGGCCAACTGGGCTACTAGCCTACCAGTGACTTAGTGAGCTATAAGAGACCATATATTAGTTCATTTTAAAAAAAGTATAATCAAAATAAACTAGGAAACTCTGTTAGCTGAACATTTGGCATCCTCACTGCCTATTTCTGTTATACCCAAGTTCATGATGTCCTCAGTTACACCATCAAGTTCTGGATCAGTCATAACTACAAAAAAAGCATTTTACTTTTAACATGAAGCCAGAAAAATGAGAGAAGTTAATGCAAACATATAGAACATTTACCATTATTTCCATATAACCAATCTTTACTGCACACTAAGGCTTCAACAATGTCAGGTTTTAAAGCACTTCTATATTGATCCAAAATTCTACCACTGTTATTGAATGCACTTTCTGAAGCAATTGTGGAGATGGGAATGCATAAAACATCTCTAGCCATAGCTGCTACTTCAGGAAACCTGTATTGGTTACCTTTCCAAAAATGTATTACATCTAACTTAACCTTCCTATCAATTTTTTGTTCTTCAAGATACATTTCAAGTTGTGACTTCTTAGGCATAGTTATTTCCTCTTCAAATGAGTCATAATCCTAATTTTGAATGCCAACATAAATGTAAAAAGTAAGTTAATGAAAAGGTACTGATTAAACAACTTGAGAACTAAATAAGAAATACAAATACCTGAAGAAATTGTGATTTTGTAATTGAAGGAAAAGTCGTTGAGCTATCAACTTGAGAACTAACTGAAGGTAATGATGACATGTCATCCGAGGCTTGTAGGTCCACCTTCTCATAGTTTGAAAATAAGGCAAATAGCTTATCCCTAACCTTCTTTGTTTCAGAAATGTAATCACCTCCATATAATTTTTTATAACACCATTCAACAAATGTGAACTTGTACCTAGGGTCCAAGATGACTGCTATAGCCAAGATATCACAAAAATCAAACCAGTATTTCTCAAACTTTACTAACATCCTTGTTGCAATATTTCGGATGTACTCAATACCATGTAACCGTTCATGCTTAAGTGATGCATAAGCCGTAGATACACAAGGGAAGAATAGATTTGAAGTAGGATACTTAGTACCTGAGAATGCACAAGTAATCTCATAGAAAGGTGCTAGAAATTTGCAAATAATATCTAACCTATCCCATTCAGTATTACTAGGATAAGTTTTGAAGTTAGAGTCAAGTAATTCCAAATGTTGGAAGGCACGTTTGTAATAAATAGCTGAATCAAGCATAATGAATGTAGAATTCCACCTCGTAGGCACATCTTGTCTTAATCCTTTCTTTGAGTCAAGATAACTTTGTTTGACACATTCCAAAAATTTTTGCTTTCTAGCTTGTGAGCCTTTCACATATTTTATACTTTCTCTAACATTAGAAACAGAGATATCAACCTCCTTCAACCCCTATTGGACAATAAGATTCACAACATGAGCACAACATCTTATGTGGAAAACTCACCTTTACATAACAATGCACAACACAAATTTAATTGGTTTCTTAAGAATTCAACATAAACATTATTAGCTGAAGCATTGTCAAGAGTTATACTGAATATTCTATTCTGAATTTTCCATTTAGTTAAAAATAAGTGAATCTTCTCACACAAAGCAATACCATCATGTGGTGGTGGCATAAATCCAAAATTGATAATTTTTTTCTGCAACAACCAGTTGTTATCAATGAAATGTGCAGTCAAGCAAATGAACCCATCTGTATTAATTGATATCCATAAGTCAGAAGTCAATGAAACTCTACTATTACTTTTCAAAATCTCCTTTTGAATAAGGCATTTCTCTTTAGTAAACATTTTCTTGCAATCACTTCTAGCAGTGTTTCTAGATATTATTTGGAGATCACGCCGGAGATATTGCAACAAAGAACGAAGACCAGACCATTCAACACATTGAAAAGGAAGATCATGCATGATTATGCAAGCACTGAATAACTCACGAAACTCATGAATGTCAAACGTAGATTCAGTCATAGAGATAATTGAAGTAGCATTGGACTGTAGAATAAGTAACCCAATGTCATGAGTTTCTCTTTTTTTACAATTTTGTATATGACGTCTTAAATTTCCAGTACCATACTTGCTATCACACTGATATATTGCCCCACATCTTGTACATTTACATCTCTGCTTTCCATCACTAAGAATGGGCAACATCTCATAATAACCCTAAACCGTTGAACACATTGTTTGTCTTTTCTTAGTGGATGATGGGTCATCTCCTTCTTTTTCAATAATTTTACAGAAATCATCATCGTCTTTTTCATTGTCAACTGAAATAGAAGCATTTCCTACTTCAACATTCTCAATGAATGGAGTACTTTTTACCACTGTGTTAGAATCCTTCATCTATTGAACAACAACAATGTATAAAAAACTATGAAAAATATACAATAACAAGTTAACAAATATTCAAATAACAACATTAACATTTTAATGTTTAATCTAAAAGGCTAAAATCTCAAGGGCCAAGGCTACAGCCTATAGGAGTAAACGACCACATGTTTTCCTCAGTCCACACAGACACACACCCCAGGACCACAGCACTACAGCAGCACAACAATTAGCAAAGTAGCAAACGTGAAACAGCAACAGCTAAAAGCCTACGATCAAATAAAATTCAGTCCACACTCTACAGGACCACAGGTCCACAGCCATAACATAACCACAACTTCACAAGTCCACAAGAAATAACTTATACTCATTACTCCTAAAATAACTGTTGAACACATTATATTGTTAAGTGTTAATAATATAATCAAATGATTAAAACATAAATAAAATCTTGAAAATCAGTACATATTACAGAATAAAAGGAAATAAGTGATAATCAAATGATTCAAATCTAGGGTTTGCTAATCACGAAACCTTCACGGCATCACCTAGGGTTTCTGCTTGAGAAACCCTAAACTCATAATAAACAAAAAAAATCTTGCTATTTTCCAAGCAATAATCATATATAAACATTATATCCAAATGATCAAAAGAAAAATCTGGTTCACGGTATGTAACGACATGGGGATTGGGTAGAGAACTAGAGAAGAGAATGACTGAATGAGACTTCAAGGGGAGAAGGAGACTTAAAATCAGAATTCATCACCTGCGATTCTTGCGAAATCGATCAAACAACAACCGCTAAAACACGGGGAATGGGAGAAGGAAGATGAAAGATGGAAAACTAGGGCACGCCGCACGCAGAGGCAGAGCAGAACCCTAAACCCTAAGCCAAGAAGTTGAAGTAACTCGAACTCTCGAACAAATAATTATTTAAGGCTTTAGCCTTTAAGCCTTCAGTCCTTGACCCAATGACCCTACAAACTCGAGCCGTCCATTCATCCAATTGGGCTTTGAGCGCAGCCGCGATGAACTCGACCAGCGAGTAAAATAATTTCGGGTTGAAATCGCGTCAAACTCGTGTCTCCGGGTTGACCCGAACACGACCCGAAATGAAAAATGGGTCATTTTCTTAGACCCGAACACGACTCATTTTCTACCCGGGTCGACCCGAACAATGATTTTTCCATGTCATTTCCAGGTCATGTTTCGGGTTGTGTCGAATATTGAAAGCCCTAGATGTATGTGGCTTCGACAAGGAAAGTTGGAGGTAGAGGTTAGTCCGTTCACTGGGTCTCGATTGTGATTAAAAGTTCGGAATATAGATTTGGTTGAAGTGGAGATTCATCGAACTGTAAAGTTGGGATTGTCGAGCAAAGAGAAGATAGAGAGAGTGGGAAAGGGTATGTAAATTGAGGAGGGTTTTATGTGTGGAAGGAAAAAAAAGCTAAAGTCATTGTTCAAAGAACTCAAGCATTAGGAACGGTCAAAGATCTACCTAGAAGGAAGATAACATAAAACAAAGTGAAAAACGACTTAAAAGGTTATTCGTCCCTTTTGCCCCATTAAGATGCTTGATGATAATCCAGGTGACAATAACAAAGTGGATAGTTACTTGAAATTGAGACAAAATATCAAAAGGTTTGGATTAATGCCATCATCAATTTCTGACTTTGGAAGATGGAAAAAGCTTATAGAATATTTATCTAAAATATTCTTAATTGATTTTTGGAATTCACCATTGGAATGTAATTTCCCTTATAGATTTTGTTGCTTCTTTTTTCTTAAAATTTGTCATTTTAAACTTATTCTATTTGATTATGGCGTCTGTTGGACAAAATTTTGACGTCACTTCGGAAGAATTCCAGCATCACTCGGGTGTCCGGCAGAATTCCAGAGTCACTCCGCATTGGGCAAAACTCCGACGGTGGTCGAGGAGGAGTTATTCCCTCCTATTCTTCTCTTTTCTCTTCTCTTCTTCTTCTTCTCTTCTTCTTTCTTTGGTCCCCTCTCATGAGAAATGAAGGGTCTATTTATATATATTCTGGAGTGTCATAGCTTTTAAATAGGTGTGAGATCAGGGGTAAATAGGGAGTGGTTGAATGGAAGGCCGATATTGAACCTACGATCGTAGACCGTTCATCAGATATTTGAAAGTCTTAATGATGTCAGAAATTGGAAATCTTAGGCTCGTTGGATTTACCTCATTGAGCCGCTTGATTTGACTATAAGGTCGTCAAGTTTAGAGATCATTTGGTAACTCAAATTGTGCAAAAAACTTTCCAATAGTACTTTAGGTCCTTGATTTGGACTCATTTGGGCTTGGATTGAGTTGAATTTGGTGTCGTTGGATTGGTATTTCCTAGATGCTCAGTTTGACTATAAGTTCGCTAAAATCAGAGTTGAGATGACCCCAAATTTAATTTTTGAAGTTTCCGGGTTTATTTTGCCTCGAGATTCGTGCCCGATCAAGATAAGTTTTTGATGATATATCAGTTATCCCCCTATTTTTGGACGTCGAAGCTCGAGGAGTCCAGAAATATTAGATTTGGACCATTTGGGCTAGAAATTGGGCCCAAACAAGTATAGGCGAAGCGGCGCGACGGTGCGGTTCTACGGTAGTTAGACGCGGTTTGAGATTTTGAAAATTTTTTTAAAATCATTTTTAAGTCAAAAAATTCTGAAAAAATCCCTAAAAATTCCAAAAAATCTGGAAAAGTTCAGAAAAATTCTAAAAATTTCAAAAATCACAGAAAAATCTGGAAACTTCTTTTCTTCTCCCAAAAATATTATAAATAGACCCCCAAAGCCAAGGAGAAACCTATACCTTCTCATTTTCTTCTTCTGGCTCTCTGATAGTTTAGGCTTTCTACTGTTTTTATGTATGTGACTTTTCTTACTTTACTCATAACCCCTCTTCTTGTACAGAAGTTAGAATTTCTTCTCATTTTTTCTTCTTTCTCCCCCATTTTTCTTCTTGCTATAGAGGCTTTCCACTATCTTTCATAGGTGATTTTCCCTACTCAAATTAGCACCCCTCTTTAGTAAAGAAGAAAACTTTTTGTCCTTCCACTATCTTCTTCTTTATCAATCTTCTTACAGTCGAGGCATTCTGTTATTTTTCGTAGGTGACTTTCTCTACTAAAATCGGTGCCCCTCCTCTTGTATAGAAGTTAGATTTTTTGCTGCCATTTCTTTTCTTTTTCCTCCCTCATTCTAACTTTCCTACAGTTGAGGCGTTCCCTTCTTTGTTGTAGATGGCATCCCCTACTAAAATTCAAGGTCCCTCTCTATGTATAAAAATTAGAATTTTTGGATTCGTTCCTTTTCTTCTTCTCTGGTTTTCTTTTTACATTGGAGTCATTCCACTATCAGAGATAGGTGGCATTCCCCTATCAAGCTTCAGTGCCCCTCTCTTGTGTAGAAGAAGTCATGATGAGAGGTATCATCTTAATAGATATACTCATGATAGAAGAAGATCTATTGCTATTTGTATACGAGAGCTATTTGAGAAGATTTGGCAATAATATTTTCCTGGAGGAGAATCAGAAGTGATGAGTAGATGGGGAGAATTTTGATGTTGTTTGAGAGAAGGTTTGTTGATGATGGATAATCGAGTTAAAGCCCATTAACAGTCAACGATCGAGTGTAGAGTTGAAGGAAAGAGTTCGAGGGTACGCTACTAACAGTAGTAGAGCGAGAAACCGATGATGGTAGATATGAAGGAAAGGACCAACGACGAATATTGGGCGAAGGGTCAATGATGACGGTGGTCCTGTTACATTCTGCTAAGGCAATATTGACATGCGCAGACATTAGATATTCCTTTCTTTGATGAAGAAGTTGTAGGAGATGCTTGTGTGCAGCAGAGAAGAAGTTACTTAAATCCATTAAGGATATTTGACAATTGTAAAATTTCTTATTGCTTGATGATAGTAGCTTGTACAAATAATGTCACTGTACTTTTTTAATTTCAAATTCTTTCAAAAAAGAACTTGATATATACTTTTTGTAATCTAACTCCA